TCCCTAGACACCGGCCTCTGGCTCTCTGCTCTAGCCTCTCTCTCTCTGGCCCAAGAGAGCAGGGTTCCCCCACGTCTCTGGCCTGTGGCCTGGACAGCCTGGTCAGCACAGGCAGGAGCCTTTCCTAACCTCCTGTAGGATGAAGACGGCCTCCTCCCTGAATGGGCTGCAGTCTCTATTGATGCCGCCCCGTGCGTTGGGACCAGTCCCGGTTTTCCTGCCCTTTTCTGCCTTGGGGCAGCTGGGAACTGTAGTCCAGCAGATGAGGAAACCCCATTCAACCCAGTGAGTGATACCTCTCTGGAACTACAGCTCAATTAACCTTATGGTGGAACATTTTAAACAAACAACCACAGACAGCAGCCTTCTTACAAACACAGGTTAACTGCCATTTCGTTACACCTACCAACAGCCACTGAGGGAAAAGTTAAGTCCCACACAGGACGCAAGCAGGAGAAGCATCTTTGTCAAAGAGACAAAGCCATTTGCGAGGAATTCTGACAGGACAGAGTGGAAGGGGGAGTGGGCGGGAAAGAGCAGCACACCCTGCCAATGGCACGCCAGTAGTCTTGACTGGCAGCCGACGGGCCAATGGCTGGGGGAGCGCATGCAATCTCGCCACCCCATAGGCCAGAAGCCACCACCATTCCACAATTATATATAAGAGAGATAAGACTTTTTAATTACTAGAGTACCTCTATCTGTGTATGGTTGTCTCTCCCACCATGGTTGACCCTTAGCCTGCCTTTGAGTATCTGGAGTAAGGGGAAGGGCTCCCCCCTGGCCTTCTTGGTCTTTTCTCAGCACAAGGAACAGCAGATCAGGTGAGAGAGTGTGACTACCAAAGTGCCTATAGGAGAGCAAGCTGCTATGGAGAAAGTAAAGTAAAACCACTAGCACCACACTGTGGACTGCTTCCTGTTTTCCCAGGTGGCTACCATGGTGATGGTGGTTTTACTCTCTCATCCCCACCACATGTTTGTTCTCCTCCTGGAAGCTGCCTGTGTGTTGGGATGAGAGTGCAGAAGCTGTGGAGAAGGGTGGGGGTGCTGGAGACAATGGGCCCTTCTATCCCTGGCATGAAGCCTGCAGCTCAGGGAGGCTTTCAGTTTACCGTTCTTCCAGTCCCTGTGGTGGTGGCTGTTTCAAGGTGCCAGCCACAAGCCTTACTGGGCAATGGCCTTTCCCACTTTTCTATAACATGGGACAGGTGCCACATTGGGGAATGGTGCTCAGCCACCGAGTATCATTCACATAAACAATATAATTGCCAATAACCCAATATATATGATAGAAAGGACATTAAAAAGATTCTTTTGAAGAGAGAGGCTTATTGGATTTTCAAACTAAATACAGTCTACCAACATGGTTTAAATGCATCTTTAGATTTAGGACGTTTTTAATGAATGTGAATATTTGGCAACCATGGCGTAAGTAACTTCAGGATCAGTTTAAATTTAGTAATGTAGCTTAACACCTATTCAAGCTGTGACTGCAGCCCTCTTGGATTCAGGATGTTTTTGAATGTGAATTATTGGCAACTAGGTGTAAGTAACTTCAGGATTATTTTTCAAATGGGGGTGATTCAGCTCTTATAGCAATGTAGCTTAACACCTGTTCAAGCTTTGACTTCAGTCCTTTTGGGAGAACTTTTTTCTAGAATTAGAGATGTTGCTTCTCAAGCTATGTGAGTATGTGATATAAGTATTATGTTTCTTGTTTGAATTTGGTTAATAATGGCTTACACCAAAATGTTAAATACTTGTATTTTATAGAAGAGGTAGAAAACTCATGAGTGTGCAGCTTTTTGTTGCTTGAGGAACTCCATACTTTGTGTTGACTGTAAGAAAATATTTTCAATTATCAAAATTAGATGATGTATTATTACCACTGATATTGTATTGATTGCACAACATTTTGAATTTATTATAAGGGTACAATTTCTGGTCAGAAGAAGACACATTGTCGAAACGGCAGCACCAATC